GCCCCCGGTACCCACGACACGAGGTAGTAGCGCCATCGGCGGCGGCAGTAGCACCAGCGGGGGCGCTCGGGACGCTTTTTGATTCTAGTCGGTGTACGTTTCGATGCGGCGTGGTGTTGTTCGGTCTTGCCGGGGGGGTCGGAGACTACTTGACCGCTGGGCGCGACAATCGCCCGAGAAACGGCCGATCGCGACTGCCTGTTTTTTTGTTGAAAATGTCATATACCTGGTACACGCAGAAGTCACGGAAAGAAAGACTTTCCCATTCGATATAATACAGCAGTACCACAGTCGAAGGGCTTTTTTTTGTTTGGTGCGCGCTGTCTACTACCGTTGTTTAGTTGTTGAGATATGGCGATTCTGGTGAAGTGTCTTCTGTAGTACTGGTAATTCGGCCAAAACTTTCCTTACAAAACGAGTGAATCGGGTGCTACATCATGCGCTCATTCGAACGCTGCTGACGAGAGCTTTCTCACGATTACTGTTTGGTTCCACTCATTTCGTCGGGAAAAGGGTATTTTTGTTTTCCAGGCACCCGTATGCGGCCTCACAAATGCCGGCACTGTAGAGTTGACGCTTTTCTTTTTTTTTTCTTGGTCATCTCGTGTCGTGGTCGTCCGTTCTCCAGGGTTGACCGCCAGTTCTAGCCGCCTGTTGATATCTACCGGCTGTGTGTGTCGTCTGTGAAAACGTTTTGGAGGGGGAGTCCTTTCGCACGTGCTCGGCGTTATCGTTGTGGCCAAAGCTGTGTGTGTCTTCTCCGTTATCGCGCATTTCTCTCCCCCCCGCCTCGTCAAGGACATGGCTCTCCGTGTCGCCTTTTTTCTTTTTCCGCGGCTGGCTGTTGGCGCTGTTGTTGTTGTTACTGACGATGGGCATGGACGTTTCTTGAACCTGTCACCGCCCCCCCCTCCCCCCCCGTCGATACCATGTGCTGATTCGCTGCATTCGTTCAGCATGGAATCATCGGCCTGAAGAGCGGCGTCACGAGGAAATGGCTCGGCCAGACGTTCCTCGGGTACCTCAGGGTGTCCGGCTCGAGCTTCGGCAAGAACCACGAATGGCAGGTGCGTGGAACTGTACGCTCTTATTCGTTGTATATCTTGCTGCTTGAAAGAAGGTATGGTTCTGCAGTGGTAGTAAATAGTACCATTCGTCTTAGGGCTGTGTTTTTTTGGCAGTCTTCCCTCGACTCCCGCCCCAATTTCGTTTCAAGTTGGTCGAAGAAGTGCTGCTGTCGATCGGAAGAACGTTTGTTTTTGTTTTGTTTTTTCTACAGATGAGCCGTACTCTTGTCGTCTACGTACCAATGCTTGCATGTTTTATCCCTTTTGCTTTCACCACCGGCATGGCGGTACACAACGACGCCCGTATGACACTGATAAACGTGGGTGTGTGTGTGCGAATGTGTAATGCCTTCTTTTTTTTTTGCGCCCTCCCCCCCACCCCTCCCCCCCCCCCTCTCTCTCTCCTTGTGCTCTTTCCTTGCCGCACTCCTTCGACCCCAAGGCCGACCTGCGGCGAAAGGAGACAACCATGGTCTGCTGCTCGGCCAACTGGGGCGCGGGCGGCTACCTCTCCGTCCGCCCCAGCGGCACCAGCATCAGAAACGGCGATACAACCCTCGAGGGTCCCACAGCGGCCAGCGGCGGCAACACGAACAATTGCGGTCGCGATTCGGCGGCAGAGATGGCCGAGCTGTCCCTCGTGGACGCGACGCTCGCCAACAGGCCCCGCGCCGCGGTGTTCCGGTTGGTGAACTGCGACGGTTACACTCCGCAGCCGTTCGTCGGCGGGAAGCTGATGCGAAATCCAGAGCCCCCCGTCGGCGGGGGGTCAGGGGCGGGCGGACAACTGCCTCCTCGCCCGAGCTCTGGCGGCGGGAGGGGCTGGGGAGGCGAAGGTGGATGGTAACCTTTGCGTCGGCGCCCCGCGCACCCCGCGGCCGTCTCTCCAACAATCTGAAAGGCTGCGAGGCTGCTGGTGTAGTCCATTGAACCAACCGGCTATCGCGGTGTATTTATGTACTTTATGTTGCTATATACAGCGTGCAGGCGTCATTGGTACCCGAGGTATGTAATGTGCAAGTTGAAAATTTTGGTACACGCGATATGTGCAAGTTGGAAGATTTTGGACGTGTGCGGGTGCGATTTCGATTGCCAAGGTATTTGCCAGTAGAACACGGTCACCGTAGCAGGTATCGGTACACAAGAATTGTATTGAACGGAATGGGGGTGTACGTAGGGGGGGCGGGGGGCGGGGGGCTTGAAGCGGTCGGTCGGAGGGTGGGTGAATGTGCTATTTATCGAGTCTCGTTTGGGACTCGATCTGCTCGACGGGAACATCGTTCATCTCAGCACATGTTCTACCAACGATAGTCTGTGGCAGGAAGTCTTTCCCAGGCGGATGGATGGGGATGGTTTCTTTTGGGGAGGTATTTTTAAAGCTCTCCGTGCGGCAACCCCTCGTCGATAGGTTTCGAGCCTGAGGATTGCTGTTTCTTACAGTAGGTGTTTCGTGACGCATGACATGTTGATTGTTTTCCCGTCATGTAGAGAAAAAGCAGCGGTGGAAAACCAGTTCTGCCATTGGGATGTGAGCCTCCTTTCTTTTGTTGTGCGTGTGGTGGCGTGGGCAAGCGAATTTACTACTCGCCCTCTGTGGCACAACACTTGGTTGGTTGGCGGCACGAAGCGCCATTCCAGCAGCAAGGACGGTTCTCACCAACCACTGCTGAGTGTCTTGTGTCTCTTGTGTGTGTAAACAGCACACAACCCTTTCGTTTTGTAGAAATTATAATTATTGTGGACTCTGCTGCCCATCAGCAGCGCACGTCGCGTTTCTTTGTTTGCTCCCTCATCTGGCACACACACATTTTGTCATCGCACGGACATGCTCAAGAACAAATGGTTTCGAGAACCAAAAACAAAAAAAAAGAAGAAAAAAAGAAAAACAGAGAGAGGGAGACCGCGCTTCGCCCGGATAAAGTACACATGAGAGTTCCCGACGTACTGAAGACTACCACGGCCTACCAGAAAACATGAACAATTTTCACTACTGCATACCACATTCCCAAGCCCCCCCCCCCCCCCTTTTTTGCCCACCGAACGACAACCGACCAAAAGAATCAGTCAGTTGAATCGCGGGCCACGCACACCAGGCAAGAGGCAGACTACAACAGCTCCAACAAGCTCAAGCGCTCATACAGCTAGCTGGCTCCACGGCGGCGGAGTGGTGGTGTTGTTGCCAGACATATCGAAGCAAGCAAAAGCAACAAGCAAGGGTAGATCCTCCAACGAATGTTTGGGGTTTACCTCGGGATTCTGACTCTCACTTTTTCTGTTCCCCTGCCTTGCTTCTTTTCCTGCCCCTCTACCTGGATACCATCGGCTGTTTTGCTTTGTCATTGGTGAAGTACGATATCTTCCCGCCTGAATCCTTCCCCCTGTTCCACCTCTATCGTGCCGACTAGTTCGCTCGCACTTCGGCCTTCGTATATACCTTTCCACCTTAAGGGCGCTGCTACAGCCCCCAACACAAAACACACCTATCTCTTGCGTCATTCAACCATTTCCACCCACGCCCCTCATTTTCCAGAATCCAAGGCGGCCGCTCCAAAAACGACCAACTCGTTGCTTCCTTCGACCCCACACGGTCGGGCCACCCATCCCCTCGTCGATCACACTTTTCCACACGAGAATCATCAACACGACAATGCGGAGCACTGCGAATCTGCAGACAACTTTCTCTAGCAGCAAGGCAGCAGGATCCGCAAGACAGGCCTCTCGATTGAATCCCTCGTTCCATCTTGGAGCCACACCTAGTGTTCAGCAAATGCTGACCCGCCCATGGCTGCAGCAATCATCAATCGGCCTGTTGGCCATCGACTCATCCCCGCGAGTGAGTGCAGAAATAAACAACAACCCTTTGTTTACGTGCTCGAGACATGCCTACATAACTTTCATCTTTTGCACCACAAATTGCAGGCGAAGGGACCCCCAACACTATTAGTAGAAACGTCTTCGACGTAGACGTAGTAAAAGGGTTTGTGCGGGGGGCGCCCACCTCGCCACCACGCCTACATACTGCGCAGGGCGCACAACTCAAAAGGCTATAAGGGGTACCGGAGACGTCGGGCAGGCACCGGCAGACACAAGGACAGACAGCATTTTGTGTGCGAAGCGGTGCGCGGTCGCGCCCTGGGCTCTACATGAAGGCGGGCACGCGATACAGCTCTTGCTTCTCTACAGTGGTTTCTCGCAGTCACATCCGCAATCTATCAACGCGAGACCCAGACGGAGGGGGTGATGACAACAAAAGGGGAAATAAGAGAATAAACAACACAGATTAAATATAAAAGAGACTACAACGTGACGCATCAACACCAAAATATGACGCACCCTCCTCTTTTTGTTTTATTCCCTGAGATACGAGGGAAAGCAGAAACCAGACCAGGCTATCCGGGCCTCGATACACTGATACAAGCTCGCCGTCGATAGCGCTCCTCCGTCTCTCGCCTCTCCTGCTAGGCGTGAACGACTTACTTGGAAGGAACCACCATTCGTGATGCCGCAACTCGGTGGTAACGACGTGAGAGAGCGAGTCAGATTGTGTGAGAAATACGAGGGAATACTCTAGCTCCAAACAGGATAAAAGGAGCAAGTCACACACCGAGAGGCAAATCACACCACTCCCCCTTCGACGGATGCATCAAACAACGTACTTTTAGAGACCCTGGCCAAAGCTGCTCAGAACGATAAGGACAAAAGAGACACGAGTTGAGTCAAAACTCGGGTCTCGACATGGAAAACACTCCGTAAATCCACACACACGCACACACGCTTGTTGCCTATTCGCACCCTGCAACTCAGGTCCCATTTGCGATCCCCCCTCAGCCTGGCACCCGCACGTCGCGCGCAACTCCCGGGACCATCGTCAGAGAGGACAACCCCTCACAGAGAGAGAGAGAGAGAGAGCATGTGAAAAGGAGATCAGGACCTCCTTCCACTCCCCAGCCCTTTGGGTGTGTACGCGTGACTCCCCCACTTTTGGACGAGCTACAGATAAAAAAAAAAAAAAATCCACAGCGACCAAAACGCCGCAGAACAGTTTCCGAACATGGGCATACACCCTCTGCCCCCCCCCCATCGGGCCTCACCTCCCCCCCCCCTACGCCTTCCCGATATCCTGGAAACCTGCACTCTACTCCAACTTTTGGACGTTCCACCTTTAACTCACTTGACAAGTTTCTGTTATCAAAAGGGAAGTCTCAAACTACCACCATTCGTAGCGACCAAGGCAAAACATGCAAGCACCTTCGTCATATGGGTCGTTTATACCTGCTGCTGCTGCTGCTGCCGCGGCCGCCCAAGAGCAAGCACGCGCACCATCCAACCGCTGCGCGCGCGCACCAAACCAAGCCGCTCACGACCGATCGGTGTCTCTAAGCCTTGCCCTTTCCCGCAATTTTCTCCCTTCCCTCCCCCCCAGCAGCATCACCTCCACTCACAACGAAATCGCACACCCAACCCCCCCCTCCCCCCCCCTACTGAGAGGAGCACCCGCCAACCCGAAAAACCTCCTCCCCGGGCGTGCGATTCCACGGAACCTCTCGGCCCACCGTTAACCGGCGGCGTCTTTTTCCTCCGTGTCACTGTGATCCTCGTCCTCCTCCTCTTCGTCGCCCTCGCCGTCTTCCTCTCCCTCCGTTCGCTGCACAGCTCGGACAAAATCTTCGTCCACCTTGCACTGCACCCCGACGTAGTTGATCACGGTGCCCTCGGAGTCCCGCAGCGCCGCGATGAAGAACTGGTTCCAGAACATGGCTCCGTCCACGCGGTAGTTGCGGAGGCAAACGGACGTGTCCTGTTTTTTTTTATACGGTATGGGGGGGGGGGGGGGGGGGTAGAGAGCGCAGACAGAGGATGAAGGGAAGAGAGAACCGCAAAAGGCTGTCAAAGAAAAAAAAAAAAAAAAAACCGTTTTGAGCGAGGACAAGCAGTAGGCGCGTTCGCCGATTGAGTGCTATTTAGTGTCCTTCCTTGTTGTGAATGTTTAAAAAAAAACAGCCAACAGACCGCAACAACGGCTCCCAGTAAACACCAACACCAACAACAGCAGCTCCAAGAAAGCACCCCAGAACGCGCCCTCCCTCCCTCTGTTCCTTCTTCCTTCTCACCATGCCCTTCTCGATAGCCTGTTGGTTGCGGAAGAACAAGAACGGACGGCAAGTTGCCCGAGTTTCGCGCCATCGCCACCGCCACCGCCACGCACAAGCACGCACGCCGGTCGGAGCCACCGAAAAAGAAAAAAAACAAGCATAACAACACATCGACGTAACGTCAGCAGCAGTGCACAAGGGAAAGAGGGATCGTGGGGGGGGGGGCAGCAACACGGAAGGGAAGGGGAGGAGTTGGAAGATCAGCAGTCAAGTATCACGACTCGGGTTAGCGTCAGGGGTGTGCGCACAGTAAAGGACTTGCGGCGAAACAACCAACGACCGGCTTGGAGGGGGGGGGGAGCAACACCAGACGACGACAACGCGTTGTTAAAAAGAACTTGTTGTCAGGAAATTACATATTGTTTAATGGACGCAGCCGCCACTTGCGTGGTGGCGGTGGCTCTTAGCCTGCCTTTCGGCCGCGGTGCCGGGCTGCGGCAAAAATTCATCTACCAGCGGCAAGGCAGAGCGACCTTACGCGCGCACTCGCACTCGCCTTTCTGATCTTCTCCACGGCCTTAGGGTCAGTGTCCGGTCCCTGCAAGAACCGGCAGTTTCTACCCAGCACCTGTGGACCGACGGCCGTGTGGGTGCAACATGTACGTGGTGTAAGTGTTGGCGCGTAGTCGCAGCAGCAGTGGTAGAAAAGAGAAGAAAAGGACTGACTTATCTCGTGGTGCTGGTCGGTGTACGCGCACACCAACGTTCGTTTGCGTGCGTGCGCGACGGACACACAAGACAGACGCTTACGGTTTCGAACGAACGCAACTACAGCCGCATGCATGTGCCAGCATCCAAACAAAACTAGGGGCAGCATTGATGCAAGCGCTTCTCCGCCTCAGCGCTCCCCCCCCCAAAAAGACATCCTAAACTTCCTCCTCATGGCAAGGCCACCACAAATAATTGCTTGTCTTCCCCCCGTTTTCCCTTCAACCCACCTGGTCCAGCGTATATCCCGTCAACTCTAGGAAACCCTGGCTCGCAAAGACGATCGGGTTGTCCGGCAAGGTGGGGTCGGTGATAACGAAGTTCTGCTGCGCCGTCTGCAACGCCTTCACCAACGAGTAGTCCGGGTCGTCCAGAACCTGGGAGCCAAGACAAAGAGCATTCGTTCTTATTTAGTGGCGGTCTTTGGGTGGCCCCGAACGAAAAAATCTCGGTGTATGCGCAGGCGACTGATGACGATGATTGGTTGGTGAACAACAGAAGGCCGGTTTGCCTAGTAGGCAGATCCAAAAGTTTTCGTCCGGTTGCTTACCGAAGCAGTGGTGGTCGTGCCTCTTAAGACATAAGACATAGTCACAACGTCGCAACGGCCGTCGTCAGCACTACACTACCAGCACTACCAGGCACACGCAAATGCTTGACGTTCACATGGACGTTGTCGCCAATAACAACAACGCAGGCAGCAAGAAAAGAGCACATGCATGCGCCCACTCATTGTTGGAGGACCACTGCCACGGAATATACACATAGAAGTGGACTTGCTGCCGCCGCCGCCACCGCCGCCACCCACCCAGCAAGCGATGCACAGAGGGAGCGCACATGTCCATGCCACACATCCCATCTACCCACCTCCCCGGCCCTCAAAACTACCACTAACCCTACATCCCGTATACTACAACACAGCGAACACAGCGGCGGAGGTATTTCCTTGCTCCTGGTCGCTCTCGGCGGGCTAAAAACCAGACAACAGAAAGAGCGCGCGCGACAAAGAGACCTCCTTGTCAGTTATTTCGTTATTTCCGTGCGTGTGTGGGAGGGTTCGACAAAAAAAAATCCGCGCTTAACACACACAACGGAACAGCGCCAAGACAAAAGTCAATCAACACCTTCGTGGCATCTCCCGGTCTACTGGAGATGAGGGTCGTGGGCGTCTCCGTCTCAGCTAGAAGCTCCTTTGCCTCTTCCGGACCCAGGTTGGAGCGGATTGCCCCCCTGAGCTTCTCGTTCTCCTCCTGTAGTGACGTCACGCTCTTCTGCAGCGACTCCAGCAGGAACTTCTTGCGAACGCGCGACCGTTTTGCGTGCTCCCGGTTGCGCTCTCTGTCGACAAAAGCGGTTGTTGTTGTTGTTGTTGTTGTTGGGAGCGTTAGGGGTGAAATAAGGTACCGTGCACACAGCAGTTGGTGCCTTTGGAGGAGGCAAAAGAGACACACAGGAGAGATACGTAGGTAGAGAGAGACAACAGGTACAGCAGTATAACCTGAGTGAAGGAGAAGGAGAAAATGATTAAGCAACAGAGGCCCGGCGACGACTACTTCCGGCCCTTGCCCTTCTCTGCGGTTCTTCTACGAGTCAAAGAGATTGCTTCAAAGACGCCGATGGACACACATCCGCATCCCGGCATCAGCTGCTCACACGGTTGGCAACACAACAATAAGCCAAGAGAAAAACAACACGCGCGCGCGAGAGAGCGTTCTGCAACGACAGTCAGCGAGTTGGTAGAGCTCTGCCGGGTGCTCCGCAAGTCGTGGGGAACGCATGGGAGCCGAGAGAGAGCCCGAAGGGTCGCTACATACAGCAAGCAGTGTTGCCATACTGCTGCTGCTGCTGCTGCTGCTGCTGCTACCCTTTTTCTAGATGTTGATGACGGTGTCGTTCACGTGGACACGCCTATCAACACGTAGCTCGTCTCAAAACCTCAATCGTCCGTGGCAATCAAGCTGTAGCATGACATGACAGCTAGGAGGAGAGGCAGAGAAAAAGAGCGCAACAGCGCGCTCGCACACGCAGAACAAAAACGAACAGCACTTGGTGTCCTAGGAAGAGGCAGGGGTATGTATCCACTTACCCGAAGAGGTGGCTCGTTTTAAGTATTTGTGAAGGCCGTGGCAACAAGCAAGAGGGCCAAACATTCTGTCGAGATAGTCCATTATATGGGTAGTTGTGTGATGTCCGGTGTACGTACTGCACTGCTTGGTTTTCTAAAGCAAGACGACTCACGAGCGAGAACCGGAAAGATAAGTACTTCTCAGAAATCGCTACCATCGTGAGACAGGGAACGTGAGGCACAGGCAGTGCCCGCAGCGAGAAGGGGCAGAACGATCAGACAGGACCAGCCTCGTCCATCACACGCCAGAGTCAAGCCACGCGAAACACCCAGCAGCTCCAGCCATTCCGAGAGCGGCACTCGTCCTGGCCTACCTACCTAACTCTCCGCTTTCGCAAGAGACAAAAAAAACGAACTACCTGCGAGCACAAAAGCAAGACGCACATCACGTCTGTGTGTGTGTGTGTGTGTGTGTCTTCGTGTGTTCGTCCCATCTATCACGTACAGGCGAAAAAAACAACTTGCATGCTTACACACCTCCGATCAAGTCTTTGCTGCTCCGTCATATTCCGCCCTCCCTGCCGGGGCCGCTTCCCGCTAACGGAGCCTCGCTTTCCCCCGGCCCCGCCGTCATCCTCGTCCTCGTCGTCGTCCTCGTCCATCCCCGACATCGCCGCCGCCGCGGCCGCCGCCTGCTGCTGCTGCTGCTGCTGCATGCTCGCCGCCGCCGCCGCGGCCGCCCCTCTCGCCCCCCTCCCCGCTCTCCCCGCGCGTGGCAGACCCCACACCTCAACCGGGGTGATGCATACGTCGCTTTTTTTTTTTTTTCGT